AACAAACCACACCGCTCAGTCAGAATCAAAATCTTCAAAGAATCAACAAAAAGTCGAGAAGGTAATATTTACAATTGTATTGTAATATATTGATACCCGTATGCTCATCTCATTAGTTTCCCATACTGCATTTGAATTGATTAGCAAATACTAGATTTTTTCGGAAGGCCAAAGGCTAGCATGGAGTCATTTACAAAGTCTAGGACAACTGGTAAAGAATGTATTCATGATATTATTATTTATGAAAGCACAAAACAATCTGTGTTAAAATAATTTTTTTTAGACGATAGCCTGATTAAACCAAAAGTTTGGTATAAATACCATGAAGGATCATCAAAAGCTGTAAGAACCAAAATGAAATTGAAAGATTTTTTTTAATGGCAATGTTTTTATACGTATAAAATTGATCACAGTAAAAGAATATTGAACTATTTCTTAACCTGTCATAATCCTGAATTTACAGTAAAATGTATTGATTATTTCTTGCGTGTTAGAATTTTTTTTTGATTGGTTTATGATCACGTTTTGATTAACCAATCATAATTTACTCCAATAGCACCGACAATTTTTGTGTGATTTGACCAATCAGATCACATTTAAAATTTGCGAGGCAAAACATTCATTTTTGATACTTTTGCACCTACTTTTTTGATACATCTAAGCATACCCTACGTAAAACTTCTACGTATACGTATCAAAAAAAGTAGGTACAGATGTATCAAAATAGTACGTACGTACGTAGGTTTGCCCGAATTTGCTAGTGCGCAGAACATTTTTCACGTTACACCTGATCTTGTAACATGATTGGTCAAAAGACGCAGATCAGAAAATCTGTCAGTTATGGAGTACTTACCAAACATTGAATGTCTTCTATTACTAATCTGGTATATTCCCACTGTACTATGTGCCATGTGACATCGAACTCGAAATATGACATGTAGTGTTACAGTCGTTTTTATAGTTCACAGTCTTCAAAGAGGCCGACATAAAAAAAAAACAAAAAAAATCTAGTTTCCGTTAATACCTCGAAATTATTCATAATTGAAAGAACATGAATCCAGCCAGAAAGAACAAGATTGACCTAGACGTAAGTCAAGTTATAAACAACAATTAGAACATACGGATTTTGAATGAGCAATTAAAAGGATCGTGTGAAAATGCTGAACTAGAATTTTAATGTTATTTCTTTATTTTGCAGAAACTAACAGAG